GTTCCCATGAAATCGAGTATTGTAGTCTTTGTAGAAAAGCAGCTTTCCTGAATAGAAAATTGGTTCTAAGATTATATTCCAGTAAACCAGGACAGTTTCATACTCTGAAAGTGAGTTAGCTGGAAGTTTCCATTGTGATCGGTAATAAAAAGATGCAGTTTATTTTTCCCATTAATATGAAAACATTCCTGAAGAATATAGCTTCTGAAACTGTAGACAGACAGGTACACTGCAGGTGCAGGAGCCTAAGTAGCAGCTGAAAGAACGTTAGCAAGAAAAACTGACTTTGTAAAACAGCATGGAGAAAAGAGGACAGAAAGAGCAGGAACTGCTTTCTGCTAGAAGGCTACTTGTAACTCGAGAGAGCAGCTACCATAATAATTGCCTTTGGCAGCTTGTGCAGGAATTCTGTTGCATGCCCTGGCAGAAGTGCAGTCATACCTCTGCTCCAGATCACTGTCACGGTCAGCTGGGGTTGCAGCCTATTCTCTGAACTCAGCCTGTAAGAACTCCAATTACCTGAAGGACTGTGACACTGGGACAGTAACACACACAGTACCTACACACAGCACAAAAGCAGTAAGACTAGTAACAGATTAGTTGGTTCCCAGCGTCAATAAAGCGGTTAAGGCATGAACCAATGACTGGTACACACAGCCACATATGCCATTTTCTGTTTGATGTACTGCTCTTAACTAAGCATGTTTTCTCAAAACCACTTTATTTCATTCCCTTCTTGTCTATGCTATACTTTTCATTAATTCTGAAAGTTTAAACACAGATCTGGAATCATTATATGCCAGTAAAATGCACTGAAATACCTGCAAAGCAGTCAAGCTCTAAACAGCTAGCAGTACTCAGATTTACCTTCTTGATTGCACTGGAGCACTGGCACAGGAGTAGCCTTAAACACAAGGCTAAACCATCACACAAATGCAGAAAAAGAGGGGCAGGTGTGACTTCATCAGCTGAAACAAAGATAATGCTTAATTTGATTATCATAGACAGGGACACCTCCCACCAGACCAGGTTGCTCAAAGCCCTGTCCAACCTGGCCTTGAACACTTCCAGGGAGGGGGCATCCACAACTTCCCTGGGCAACCTGTGCCAGTGTCTCACCATCCTCATAGCAAAGAATTTCTTCCTGATATCTAGTCTAAATCTACCCTGTTGTAGTTTAAAGCCATTCCTCCTCATTCTATCGCCACCTGCCCTTGTAAAAAGTCCCTCCCCAGTTTTCCTATGGGACCCCTTCAGGAATTGGAAGGCCACAGTAAGGTTCCCCTGGAGCCTTCTCTTCTCCAGGCTGAACAGCCCCAACTCTCTCAGTCAGTCCTCATTAAGGGAGGTGCTCCAGGCCTCTGATCATGACCCTCCTCTGGACCTACTCCAGCAGCTCGATGTCCTTTTTGTGTTGGGAGCCCCAGAGCTGGACACAGTACTCCAGGTGGGGTCTCACCAGAGCAGAGTAGAGGGGCAGAATCACCTCCCTCGACCTGCTGGCCACACTTCTCTTAATGCAGCCCAGGATGTGGTTGGCCTTCTGGGCTGCAAGCGCACATTGCCGGCTCAAGCTGAGTTTTACATTGACTGACACCCCCAAGTCCTTCTCCTCAGGACTGCTCTTCAGCCACTCTCCGCCCAGCCTGTATTTGTGCTTGGTAGTTCAATACTGGCAGTCCCTGATTACGCTAAAGCACTTTGAATGACAGTCCTCTCACTTCGCACAAGTATAATAAAATCTGTGACTTACTAGTTTAGCTTGAACCTTAAGGACTCCTATCCTTTTATGTGGTAAGATGAAAACTTGAAAGGAAGTTTCCATAACTTCATAAAAGTGTTTCCATAAAACTGCAGTAAAGTTTTACAGTCAGCTGTATTACCTTTTACAGGGATTACATTAGAAGAATCTTTGTCAGTTTCCTACTAACAAGCAGTATTTTCTGCAACTGTAACTAAAGATCCAGGAATACAGGTTCCGCACAGGCAAAAGCTTTTGCTGTTACAGTTCTAAATGATGCCCAGTTCCCAAGAGCCTCAGAACATAAACACAAAGATGACTCACAGGATTATGGTTTACTCAGGTTCTCTTCAGGGTGGGGAGGGAAAGGGGAGGAGAAGGAAAAGGATATCAGAATTTGTGTATTTCTAAACTGCATAAAATAGAGCCTAAAAAAGCTCATGCCTTGAGCCTGAAAGAGCTCAAGATTCCCCTTCTTCCACCTTCCTCCATTTTTACCTTACCTAGCTTATCCTTTGAGACTATAGATGCTTCTAAATAGGGAATGGGACAGCAGGGCAATACTGGCAGGCCCTCACAGCAGTTCCCAACCATCTAGCAAACACTGTTCAGAGAAAGAAAAGGCTCTGAAAACAGATACCAACAGTCAATTGAAAAATCCCTCTCCTGGTTACCAATTTAACATCCTTTGCAGACACTATCAACATTGCACAGACTTCTCCTGTCATTGGTATCCTACCCATAGCAGAATTTTAATTCTTCTAATTTCAAAGAGGGGAAAAAAAACCAACCACCTATAAACCCCTCCCCCCCAAAAAAAAACCCCACCCAAACACAAAAAACCTTCAAAACAAGAGAAGGGAAAAGGATGCGAAGAAGGAAAAGGGAGACCAAAATACCGCAGTCAAACTATTTCTGATACTCCATACACTAAACATGGTGCATGTTTTTCTTTTAAAGTGACTAAACAGCTTGCACCAAAGTTTAAATGACAACTTCAATGTATTTATTTTTATGCATTCTAAAAGCAGTAATTTTAAAAAAAAAATCAATCAAAATTAAGACCAACATTAAATATACATATACAACAGGTCTGTAGCACAGGTATTTGACTATTCCATGAAAAGGCTAGACAGGTAATCGGTCGTAAGAGTTAATGAATAAGGTTGCCTGTGGGATCAAAACTATGAGCAATGATGAATACTAACACAACAAAAAATACATTCTCCATATGTTATAAACATTCTTTTCTGTTAATATAAGATTTAAAAATATTTGGCTGGGGTTTTCTTATTTTTTAAAACATACAGCTTTTTATCTCATTTATGCATAGGTTTGTTCCCCCCACCCCACACACTTAGAAGGAAAAGTTTAATTTCTCTACACTTCAGGTTCTTGCACACTGAATACGTATTCAAATTTTTAGGTTGGCAGAGTCAGAAGTGACTGCATTTAAACAATAATTCTTTGTTTAAATTTACTCAACCACTTTCCTCCAAGAACAGACTGATAGTTTCCTATGCTGCCTTTTAAAAAACAGGTAAATAATCATCCTTGAAATAGTATAATAAGAATGTGTTTGATGGTTGTCATCCATTTCCAAAGACAAATTCTGCTACACCAGTCAAGGACATGGAGGATTTTGCAGAATGATGAGTATTTTAACGTTGCAAAATGAGTATTTTAAATCACAACAGAAATACTTGAAAGTTCATTTCAATACAATCACCTTAAGAAACAAGCTCTCACTTTTCCATTATTTTTCCTGATAAAAGACATACCACTCAACTTGAAAATTTAAGTCTCAACTGTCATTCAGTCCTTCCTATCTGTCTTAAATATTTCCTAACATACAGCCCGAAAGTTTGCAAACATTACTTATTCAAACGTTTCTTTAACTGCTCTAGATGCCTTGCATCAGCATCCTGGAGAATTAATACAGTGGCTTTAGACTGAAGTGGATTAAATTCTATCATCATCAAACAACAGAGATCTATCAGTTGTTTTTGACATTTCTCTAAACCATTCCTAAGCTTCAGAAGTAGAGCTGGATCCTTTTTCAGCCTATTCATTTCAGGCACTGAAAAACCAATCAAACTTGTTAAAATATCATCAGCAAAATCTACTTCAAGATAAGCTGAGCCATCAGAAATTTTTGCCTTTATACCCCAGGACCCATTGCTGCTGGTGAGGTTTCCAGTAAGAGTAACAATAAAACACTTAACTTTCAGAATTGTAACAGTTTCTGGTCTTTTTGCAAGCAGAAGGGAAATGTATGTGAAAGGTGGAGAATCTAAATCTAAATGTGCCTGTACTGCTCTGCAAGGAAAGGTTTGTGAATCATGCTTCTGCTGATCTGCTTCTGGATCAGTTTTTGAGAAAAATACAGGATCATCATTAAACAGCCTGCTGTTAGAAGTGTGCTGGGATTCACAACTGCTCGTATCTAGTTCTGTATCATTCTGTCTTTCTTCAGGAGGATTTTTCAAAGAAAAATCTGCAGAGCTGCAAGTCTGACGTACACTCTTGTGCTGTGAAAAGCTATTCACACTATTTCCATCTCTGTCAAATACTGCTCTTTCAAAAGTCTTTTGCCTACCTGTAGCTCCTCTAGGCTTATCTCTTTCATTCACATTATCTTTTTCACAAGTGCCATTTAAAGATGAATAGCAAGGGTTGCTAGATGTATGCGGAAGTCTCTCAGTAATTAAACTTAAGTTTCTGTTAATGACCACTGGTGGCACTTCTTCCAGCTCTCTTTGTATCTCTTCTTCCAGAGGCAAGCCATCTTCTAAAGGAAAGTCATTTGAAAAGCCATCAACATTCTCTGTTGGAGGTGAAACTTGTTCAACTGAATGAGGCAGAGGACTTATACGTTCTTGTAGCAAAACATTTCCATTGTGTGCAGTCAGTGAGCCTGAGGCTGTACTAAAATGGTTGCTTCTACTGCAGTATCCGCTTTCTAAATGTATTTCATTGTTTAAAGTAAATTCATTATTTTCATCAAGACTGGCTAAAAGTTCTTCATCCGAAGGGCCTAACGTTTGTTCTAATTCATCCACAGCCCTTGAAACAATTTGGGTGTGACCAGCTTGTCCAACAGAATTGGGGTTTTCAGTTTCTCCAATTAATCTAGCAAGGACTCTTTCCTGAGAATACTCCTCCAGAAAAGCATCCACTTCACCCCCCAACACTTTCACATTTTCTGGTTTTAGCAGGACAACTCCAAGACGATACACAATATTACCCTGTACAGTGATTTTTGTTCCAGGAGGAAGTTTACTGTGGAGGACAGGTACTGGTTGATACTCCATGCCCTGAATTTGATGTATCCCATCAGTTAGTTGCAGCATCAGCATTCGAGTAGGCTTTCCTTCCCAGGGCTTCTGGAATGCCTGAGTACTGGCTGTTACTTCTTCATTTACAGTATTTTTACCTCTTAGCTTCTGCAACTGGGAATATGCTGGCTGGCTAACATCAACCAGTGAATCAATCTGGATGGAGTAGAAGCCTGACAACTCTCCTTTGGGAGCATCTAAGATGCAATCAGGCAAAACAGGATATTCCAAATCTCTCAGATCTGTAAGAAGCCATTGCTCAAATACCTGTCTGTTAATCTGAGCCTGACTTAAGGTACTACTACCGTTTTCTTCCTGGATCCAACTAATACATGCTTCCAGCCATGTCAAAGGAACTTTAACATGCCATGTGGATGAAAGCCAAGTTTCAACTCTTGCTGCAATGTTAGATGTTGACATTTTCTTTTAGGTTAAGATAATGAATTCCCTAAAACAAAACCCAAAAAAACATATTTAGTCTTCTGACAATAGCTAAAGTTATGACATGTCACTCACTCATATTATATAAAAATTTGCTCTCAATTCAAAGTTCACCTATTGTAAGTGTGACCACTTAGAATCAATTTAAATTAATGCCACGGTTTATACAGTTGGTCTATCACCTGATGGCTCCTCTCCACCTAGGGAGGGGAGGGTGGGAAAAGGAGATTCGTAGGTTTAAATAGAAATATATTTAATAAAACAATAATAAGAAGAACTAAGAAGAACTAATATTAGTAACAGTTATAATACAAAATCTGAGTTATACTCAGCCGATATTGTAAGAGTAGGCCTCAGGGTCAGGATGGTAAACAAGTCCTTCTCAAGACATCAGTCACGGAAGAGGGAGGAAAAAAGGAGCAGGAGGAATAGGCAGAGAAGGGCTGTTCCAAACAAACCCCCAATTTATAGTAAATGTGACATTTATGGTATGAATAGTATTACTTGGTCAGCCTGGGGTCACCTTAGGGTCGACTCCCCTAGGATCCCACTCCCTCCACCCTCTGTACCTGGTTAACTCAAGACTGGTGAAGACCTTTAACAATATGGCAACCTGCATACCAGGGCTGGCCAAAGCATTTTATCAACTTTGTTCACATGAAATAGCATGTTGTAGTCCTTACAAAATCGCAGTTTTCTTCAACAGAAAACTAACTCTAAACTCTAACTCTGTCCCACTAAACCAGGACAATTAAAAACACTTCTACAGACACTAAAAATAAACATGCCTTTCCAATATCTGAAGTTTCAATCAGCACAAAACGTATGTGCAGTTTACTCATAATGGACTATCAGGAAAGTGTGGAGACTTCTACAAACAACCCTGCTTGGTGAGTTCTCCTTTTCTGTTGATTTAATTAGAAACACACGACTGAAATCCTTTGGTTATGGATGTAAAGCAAATTGACCAAAAGACCCCCAGAGGTAGGTTGTTATATATATATATATATATATATATGCACTGTATTTTTAGGGGTATTTCTGTGGGTGCTGCTGTTAACACCCTGTTTACTTTAAAAATTGACCTGAGAAGTAATTATCCCATTTCATCAGCACTGTTATATACAGAAGAGACCCCATGTAGAACAGAAACAAGCTGAGATCTGTCAGCACTTGTATCAAAGGGGTGACTTTTACACTGTAACTGGATGAAAGATTTGTAACTGACAACAGAAAGCTAGCTTGATCATTGTCATCTACAGAGCCAGTCCAAGGTTTGGCTGCAATAGCAACAAGTCTTGACTGTCACCATCTCAAGAACATCAGTGGCTAACAAGCCCTGTTTTCTAGTTAGTTTAGGAAGTAGCTATGCAGAATAGAATAGCATAGAATCATTTCGGTTGGAAGGGATCTACTTGGTCAACTTGTCCAACTGCCTGATCACTTCAGGGCTGACCAAAAGTTAAGGCATGTTATTAAGAAGATTGTCCAGATGCCTCCTAAACACTGGCAGGCTTGGGGCACCGACCACCTTTCTAGGGAGCCTGTTCCTGTGTCTGACCAACCTCTCAATAAAGAAATACTTCCTAATGTCAAGCCTGAACCTCCCCTGGCACAGCTGTGCGGCATGCCCACGTCTCATCAAAAGTTGCTTCTCAGAGCACGTGCTTTCAAGCCTTTTCACCAGCTTTGTTGCCCTCCTCTGGATGTATTCAGGGACCTAAACATCCTTCTCCAATGGTGAGAACCAGAACTGCATGCAGTACTTAAGGTGAGGCCGCACCAACACTGAATACCATGGGATAATCACCTCTTTTGAGTCACTGGTTGTGTTGTGTTTGATGCACCCCAGGATGTGGTTTGCCCCCTTGGGTGCCAGGGTACACTGCTGTCTCACATTGAGCCTGCTGTCAGCCAGCACCCCCAGATCCCTTCCTGCAGGGCTCCTCTCCAGTTGCTCCTCTCCCAATTTATACTCATGCCCAGCATTACTTCATCCCAGAAACAGAATCCAACATTTGGACTCATTAAATTTCATCCCATTAATCATTGCCCAATGTTCCAATCTATTGGGATCCCTCTGTAAGGCCTCTCATCCCTCAAGAGAGTCAGCAGCACCTGAGTTTGGTATAAGCAGCAAACTTTTTAATAGCACATTCAACTCCTGCATCCAGATGGTCACTACAGATATTGAAGAGATATTAGGCTGCTTGTGTTTGGATCCTATTTAACCCCTTAGAAACGATGGCCAAGGAGCTCAACCTGTC